GATCCCTTTCAATCATTAAGGACTTTTTGGTATAAATAATTCAAAAATGGTGAAATTCACACAAATAAGGGAAAAAAAAAAAAAAAGGAAAAACCCAATCCCCATAGCCCAAGCCCACAACAGCTCTGCAGTAAATTCACGCGCTTATCTTCTTCTCCTACCTCCACCAACCACTCTTCCACCTTTAAAAACCCCCCAAAAACTTGGGCCAATCAGCCACAGTTATTCCTCTCCGTTAGATCCAGACTGAACAACAATGGCGTGCTCAGCTGCCACGTCAATGGCCGCTCTTATCTCATCCAATCCCAATCCCAATCCCAAAGCTCACATTTCTCCCAAAAGCTCCATCTCTCCCCAATCCGTTTCCCTTGCTTCCTCATTCTCCGGCAAATCCCGCTCTCGCTCTTCCATCTCTGTTTCTTCTTCGAAACGACGTAGTTTGGTCGTCCGTGCTGTAAGTTTTTCCTGTTCACTCTAATTTCTTACTTTCCATTTGTTTTTTTTTTTTTGGTTTGAACTCTGATTGTTGTTGGCGTGAATGTTCGATTTTTTGGTTGACTCAGTTATGTACTGAGTTAACTCACTACTTGAGCTTCAGATTTCTACAATGTGGCCACATTTTTTTTTTTTATTTCTTCTCGAGGAATCCTTGTTACGTATATATAGTTACATAAATTTTGATTCAATGTAACAAGGAATTTATGTAACCGGTTCTAAAAGAATTTAGACTCTCTCTTTTTCCCGTGAATGCGTATTTAACGATTTAATTTAAGACTAATTGCTGTTCAATTTGGTTGAATTATGTAATTCATTAGATTATTTTGTTTGTTTTTTTACCAATGTTCTCATCGTGAGATATTTTTTCTCCTTGACAGAGTGAACTTCCTCTGGTTGGAAACGTAGCTCCGGATTTTGAGGCAGAGGCAGTTTTTGATCAGGAATTTATTAAGGTAATCTCCACCAGAATGCCGATTTATGTTCGAACATCGTACATTTTAAAGTTACTTTTTTTTTTTTTTTTTATTTAACTTTGTGTTGATTCTATTTACAGCATTAGATAGTATGTAATGAATTTTGGTTCGAGTTGTCAATTGAAGGGTTAATATTCACCTACGTTTGCATTTTGCCGGAAGGATTCGGATTTGAGAAAGAAAAAAAAACGAATCGAATTTTAGGTGGATTAAAAAAATACAGCATAACAATTTAAACAAATAGCACAAGATATATAGGCGGAAGACTGCGTGGATTCAACTGCAACTTAAATTATCCTAAAATAAATGGATTTTCTATCATGCACTCGATAACATTATTTTCTAAAAAAAGATTTATTTCTGGAATAGTTAGCTATGTTACTTCGATCAAGTTTCAAACATAACCCCATACTTTCCGGCATACTGTGGGTTCAACACTGTGAATAAACGTGTTTTTTGTCATATATAGTGACGATCTTTAACCGATAAGAGCTATTATGGGTGCAGGTTAAGCTCTCTGAGTATATAGGGAAGAAATATGTTATTCTCTTCTTTTACCCACTGGACTTCACCTTTGTTTGCCCCACGGGTAAGTCTGAAACTGAACCCTGGTTTGATATTGGCCACATCATCACAAAAACGGTAACTGCATTTTACATATCGTTCAATTCATTATGTTGCAGAGATCACCGCTTTCAGTGACCGTTATGAAGAATTTAGCAAATTGAACACAGAAGTACTCGGTGTATCCGTAGACAGTGTGGTAAGCATTATTATTATCATTTTTTTTAAATCTTGCGCTGTCTGAATATTTTGGCCATTTTCATGTTACATTGTATAGGACGACTTTTTTCGAATCCCAATTTGATTTTACCGTGTGATTGATTGCTTATTTTTTTCTTGTAGTTTTCCCACCTTGCATGGGTCCAAACGGAAAGAAAGTCCGGGGGTTTGGGTGATTTGACATATCCATTGGTTTCTGACATAACTAAGTCGATTGCAAAATCGTACGGCGTGCTGATTCCAGACCAGGTATGTATTGTAATATCTTCATTTCCTCCTTTTTTTTTCCCTTCATTTATGAATTATGATCCAAAAAAATTGCAGCTGCAAATAGTTAACCTTCTCGTATCGAATGAAAAAATAAAAAAATAATGATCCTATTATATTGATCTTCTGATTATTTCGTGGTGCTTTGTTCAGGGAATTGCTTTGAGAGGACTCTTTATCATTGACAAGGAGGGAGTCATTCAACACTCCACTATCAACAATCTCGGAATCGGCCGTAGTGTTGACGAAACACTGAGAACACTCCAGGTAATGTTATAACATAAAAAACATTATCATGGTCGAATTATATAAAGTTGTTACGAAATGTTCTAGAACATCCTAGGCCGTTTCCAGAACATTCTAATTCGGAAGTGTCGGGGGAATTCACACGTGTTGGTTGATTGATTATCGTGCAGGCATTGCAATACGTGCAAGATAACCCAGATGAAGTGTGCCCAGCTGGATGGAAGCCTGGGGAGAAATCAATGAAACCAGACCCTAAGCTTAGCAAGGACTACTTTGCTGCTATTTAAGCTCTTCGATGAGAATCGAGATTGTTTGTTAGAAAGAGGCTGCAGAAAGTTTTGTTATTCATGTAACTATTTAAATTTATTTTTTTAATTTATTTATTGGAGTTCATTGTTGAGTTCTGAACAACGCTTTGGAAAATGACATTAATGTTTAAAATTGAATGGTTTCCCCCGATCAAATTGAATGTCTTATTGTGCGTCGATTAATGATAGATATTGAATGTCTTATTGTGCGTCGATTAATGATAGATGTAATTTTGGTCTGTGTTTCATCTAGTGTAGGATCTCATCTTATATATCGTCTGAAATCGACTCTCTAGGATTCGCTCCTAGATGTTACATTCTTCTTATATACCTCATTCCGAACTCGTAAGTTTCCGAATTATTTTATGGAAATTGGAATATATATGATAATGAGACTAGTCCGAATTTAATTTCTAGTTCTTTTTTTCTTTCGAAGATTACATTATAATAATAATATTACTATGTAATTTATTAAAAAAAAGTCTGAATTCCGACATTTTACGATTCAAATTTTCAAATTTGGACACAGGTTTTTCATTCTAATTTTCCGATTTTATTTAACGAAATTTTAGAACCTACGAGGTGAAATCAGAACCATACATGTACACCTTCATGTGCGAATTACAAATCAATCTCTACCAACTAAGACATGTCACAAGCCATCAAATTTAATCATTATATAATATGATACAGATTGGCTATGAATCTTAAGATGATGACATAATGTACAATATGTTGATTAGATGATGAAGAATCTTAATACATATGATCTTAATATGTAAATAAACATTAGTTATTATTTTCCACTCCTTAATTAAAGCTTGGAATAGACTTTCAACAACTTTTCTTGTAAAAACTTTTTCCTTTTTTTTTTTTTGATAAAGTAACATGTACATTAAGATATATAGTCAAGGTAATTGGACATATATATATATATATATTAAAGATTAAAGATTGAATTATGTAAACATTCATCTAAAGCCTACTAATACCATCTGATGTCAAGAATTGAGCATAGTTTCCCAAAAAAAGAAAATAAAAAAAGGATTTCCTGTGCAGCAAAAATAAAGTCATATATGCTAGAAAGTTGATCTAGAGCCAAAAATCGACATTTTTTTCGTCATCTCTGCGTCACGTTGGAACATCAGATTCATCAGGAATGTAATTCAGTCTCTCAACATCTTCCCAGTTCAACTTCGATGTAATTTCATCGTATTCTGGAATATGCTCCTGAAAATTCAACCAACAAAAAAAGAAATTTATTAATATTAATTATTGTTATAGGGAATGAATGAATGAAATGTAATATATATACCTCAAGCTCTCGGACCAACTGTTTTGCTGACGGGGCAGAAACAATAATTCGACGAGAAGTTGGAGATATAAAGCCTTCGTCAACGGCCTTGTCAAGAAATGACAACAACGAGTTGTAGTAACCTTCAACATTCAACAGCCCCACCTGCGGTTTGATCGTATCGTTAATAAGAATATTGATAATTTTAGTATTGTCTCGTTCTAGACAAATAACGAAAGTACATCGTGCTAGATGTAAACCCGTTTTCTAATCCGATTTTAATTTTCTATATACTACATAATTATAAAGAAACAAGCAATATATTACAAGTTCCACATGGATTGATACATTTCCTATTTCTTTCCTTTTGACCGTAATCGTATATATAATTGAAAGGCAAAAAAAAAAAGGGAAATAAGTCACATGTAATAACATATAGAATATCGGTCTTTTAGATGCTACGCCACGAGTAATTTTATACAATAGATTTACACATAATCAGACACGTACACAATCAAGACATATATATATATATACATATGGATGTGTGCAAAATTGGTAATGGGAACACATTCAATTACACAAAATACACACATATATTGTACTATAATAATACGCTATATATATAAACGGCATTACGAAATTAGGGAATGAGTAGATTACCGGTTTACGATGGATTCCGAGCTGAGCCCATGTAATAACTTCAAGCAACTCTTCAAGAGTCCCATAACCACCTAAAATAAACAAAAATGAAAGGATAATCGATTATTCGAAAGAATCACGTATTTTTTTTCACAACAATTTTTTCGTTAAATCAAATCTAAAATATGTACGATGTAATAAAATACCGGGAAGGGCAATGAAGGCGTCGGCTTGTCGGGCCATCTCGGCCTTCCTTTGGTGCATACCGGATACAGCTCGTACTTCTCCAATCGTTTGTCCCGTTATCTGTGACACAATTAGAACTTCAAATGTTATTTACTATGATAAAAATAAAAAAATGCATAGAATAACAAAAGGGTTACATTATTGTTTTAAGTAGTTATAGAATTAGGACTTAAATATTTTCTTTAGTAAATATAAATTATTTTTGGTACCTCTAGGGGCATAAGAGTTCTTGGAATAACCCTGCAACATATATAATCAGATTAAATTCTTAATATTAGTGATTATACATATATATATATGTATGCATACATAAAGAAAAAAAAAACTTGCAAAATCAGAAACTTGAGATATATATATATATATCCCATGATGTCTGCCTTTGGGTGGTAAGAATTAAACAAGGACACAAAAAGATGGTAGAAAAAAATGATGTTTGTCTTTTGACACACTTTAATGTGTGTGAGTGTGTGTGTGTGTGTGTGAGAGAGAGATAGAGAGAGAGGAGAGAGAGAGAGGAGAGAGAAAGGTACCCTAGAACATGGCGCCCACCATCATGAACTGCCTGAGAAACAAGACCCATCAGACCCACGCTTCCACCTCCATACACCAAATCAATCTTCCTCTCCACCTTATTTTTTTTTTATTAATTAATAATAATAAAACACACACATCGAAATAAAATTAGAAATATTAATAGAAAAAACAAAAATAAAATTAGGGGTGTGGAATTTGGAATGCTGGAGGGCATACATGTATAATTACACGTGCATGAAAAGAAATGAATCCCCATGAATGAAAAAAAATGGACAAGCCGAAAACAGTTATCATATCAATAGGGCACGTTTGGTTCCCCCATACAAAACCAGTTTTCTTTTTTCTTTTTTTTTTTTAATTTATTTATTTATTACAACGAACTTAAGATCACGCAAGAACACTGCTCTAATGTACAGGCAGATGACAGCTTGCAGTTTCAGCTCTCTCTCTCTCTCTCTCTCATGCCAAACAAACCCTAAACCCTAAAAAATTCGAAACTCGAATTTTATGCTACAGAGAGTCGTCCATTCACGAAAAAAGCTTTAAAATAAAATATGGTTGAATTAAAAAAAAAATAAAAAAAATACCAGTTCTTTTCCCAACTCAACGGCGGCTTCTTGATAGGTTGGTTTCTTGCCGGAACTGCTGCCGCAGAACACACAAATTCTCTTGAATCTTGATTTCTTCTCCTCCTCCATTCTCTCTCTCTCTCTCTCTCTCTCTCTCTCTCTCTCTCTCTCTCTCTCTCTCTCTCTCTCTCTCTCTCTCTCTCTCTCTCTCTCTCTCTCTCTCTTTCACACACACACACACACAAACACACAGTGAAAGTATGAAAAATGATTCTAATATATAAGTGAGAACGAGTATCAGGGTTCTATAATATATAATCTTATATATATATAAGGAATTGTGTGTTCAACAAAGATTTGAAACGACTGGTCTCTCTTTTGGTTGGTTGCCGTTTGGTTTAGTATTAATCCCACTTATTCATTATCATATCTTTTCATTAATTATTTTAATTCTTTAATTTTATATAAATAAAAATCCTCATAATTTCTATTTTCTATATTTTATTATATGATATGTGCCAAAAATATGTATAATCAATTTATACCGTATCCTTCAAAATCTCTCCACTAATAATAAATCAAATCACCAAAAATCTCTACATCAAATGAAATTAATACAAAATCTCTCCTCCCAATTTTAACATAAAATAAAATTAATTCATTAAAAAAAAACATGTGTCAAAAACTCTAAAATATCCATCACATGTGATGCAGCCGTTGACGGTGACGCCTATAACTAAGTCAAATTCAAAGATCAAACCGAATAATAGAATTTGAGTGACGTAATAGAATTTGAGTAACGTAAATGTAAAATACGTTAGTCTAGTTATGTGTGACGAACTCAATCTAATATGTCTGGTAATATGGATTTTTTTTTGTACTATACAAATAAATAAATTAAATTAAAAAATTAATGAATATCATTGCCTACCAAGTACCAACTGATAATTATGGAAAAATAAACCAAAGTATAATAGCTAGCATTTATTGGTGTTGTACCAAAAACGTATTTGGCAAATATCTTATATTTTTTATTCTCGTTAATTTGTTTTCATTATATCCTTTCGTATATATCTTGGTTTGGTTAAATTACAAGCACCTCCTGAGCTATGGTTAAACTACAAAAATCTCCCTTATGTTTGGATAATTACAACCATCATCTATCAATTATCAATCTTCTTACACGTCCATTCTAGCGGTTTCAAATTTAGTGAAATCTTCGTGATTATATGGAATATTATCAATTTTGTACCCACTTTCTCTCATTATAACTCCACATTTTAATGCAAGATGATCATAATATGTGTTTTTTGTCTTATATATATAGGTTGTGGTGCATCAGAAACTGTATTTTTATACAAAACGAGTACAAACTAGAGCACATTGTACAGAATCTAGATGACTATGTTGAATTTAACACCATAAGGATGGGGATGTAAGAGAAAACCATAATTGAGAAGGTAAATGTAATTATCCAAACAAAATAAGTTTTTTTCGTAAATTGACCATTGGTTGTAATTTACCCATCTTGGTTTTAATTATTAAACACATGAATAAATTCGCTCTACGTGATATCATAAATTGAGTATGTAATATTTTCTCATCAAAATTAAAAAAACTAGTAAATTACTATATTGCACTTTTTGGTAGGATGATAGTATAAGAAAAATTCAAATACCATAAGCTACAATTGGTGCTTCGCATAATCTTAAACTTCGATTGCCAAATCCACCCAGACAATTAACAATTAACGATTAACAATTACTAACAATTAACAATTAAAAGTTTAACATATAATTTTAAAAAAATGAAACTAAATATGCAGAATCCGATAGTAAAGGTGAAAGTAGTAAATAAAGTATTTTGTGTAAATATCTCCAATTCTCAAGAAATTGTAAACATATCAATCAGTCAAAGAGCATAAATCAAGCAAAAAGTGCAATGATTAATTTGTCAGTCTAAAACATCGAATCACATTTAAGTTAAACTTATTTCCACATTTTCCCAATCTTCTTGTCACTTCCAAATAAATTTATTTAATTTTTCAATTAATCAATGATTTAATTTAAACAATAGATTTGGCTAGTCGGGTACAACATAATAAATAAATTATTAGTTAAATCTAGAAAATAATACATGAACGATCATTTGTGTATATTAAATTTAAATGATATTTGCTCCACAAACACAATCTCAATAAATAAACAAACACTTGTAGATTATTCAAGTAACATATAGAATCAACTCACAGGAGATTCCAAAAATATTAAGAATAATTTAAGATCTCAATCGTGCAGGATGCTTGATTAATTAATTAATTATTAGTTCATGGATAAGAAGATATAAACGCATTCCTATTATTTATCCCAAACATTAAGTTAATGATACAAATTAGCTAAAGTTATTATATTACGTTTGAATGAAGTTCGAATTTGTATCATCATTTCTCAATCTATTCATGAGTTTCACGTGAGAATTTCTCAATTCTTTAGTTTCTAGAGTTATACAGCTAGTCGTATTATGTACGTGAGGAAACAACACCGGGCCGGACGATGATTATGATTGCCATTATTACTAACAGTCAAACGCCATAATTCATCAAACATTCATTGCTTATAACCGATTAATTTGAACGGACAATCACATTTTTGTATCCAGTATTTCTAAGATTTTTCATATCGATATTCTTTTGTCGACCATGTACGTATTTTTCACACGTCAAATACCTTATATTGTCCCTTTTAGACTGACAATGATTAAATGTAGTGTCTTTTGTTCACTTAATTAATTCTTCTCTACTATATCGAGTACAATACCAACTTTGGAGAAGTGAGCATAATCTTCATATTGGTGCGGCTAAAAAAACAACAAGATCAAAATGCGAGTCATTTAGTTTCCTTGTTGTTGAATCAAAGAAAGATAAACTAGTTAGACACTTTAAAAAAAAACAAGAGAAATATACTAGTGATTTCATGTAGTCCTACCCAAAATGAACAACATATTATTTTTACGTGTCATTTCGCGAAGAATCACACAAAATGCAATATCTCATTTTGAGTAATTCTATACGAAATAATACAAAAACAAAATATGTTGATCATTTCGTGCACGATTACACGAAATGATATGTCTCATTTCATGTAATCTTGTACGAAATGCATAAAAAATGTCGAATTTCGACCAAAATAATTTTGTTTTTACCTCAATATTGGGATCGATATCGGTCATATTGATAATTATTGTTGCGTTCTAATTGATACTATCAATTAAAAAAATGACGATTTGGAAAGTCTTAAGATTTGAAGGTTGAGATAATTTGAAAAAAATTAAAGAATATCTCAACAAATAAATTATTACGCAGTGCAAGTTGTGCAGCTGATAAAAAAAACACTATGAATAATAAACCTTTAATACAATTCAACTCAATCCAAATTAATCTAATTCACCCAATCAATAAAAGCCAAGACTTATTCTTGTTAAATATCTCATATTACACATTTACACTATTAACTATTTTCCCTATTCTTTTATCGAATTACAAATTAATCATGTATAAGTTACCTTTATATATGCAATGAAAATATATAACGATTATTCATATTAGAATCCCTTAACTTTTTGTAACTCGGACTTCTTTTTGTCTTTTTGTTTGGGTAATGAAGGAACCGGCAACTAACCATATATGTGCACTGGGTAAACTTACACTCTCGTAAAATAGCTTACAAACCATACGAGAGAGGTAAATCACACTAGCCTAACTATGTATGACAAACTCCACCTAGCGACATTTGACAATAATATTCGAACTTGAGTCAATTGACACTGGCTCACTCGCTCCAACCACGATCTTCTGGTATAAATCTTATATCAATCATATTTTATAATTCCTCAACACACTACTAATTAATTTCAATTTTCAAGTGCTTTACCACTACGTTAATGTAAAACATATCAACTTTTGTATTAGAGTATCTGGTCAAATTAAAGTATAAAATGATACTTCCTTCAAATTTTGAATTGGAGTATCCGGTCCAAAACGTTCCCAACCAAAGTTCAATGTATCGTTAAAAACATTATAAATATACAAGATGATATAACCAAAATATCTTTTTAATTAATTTTATTTTCACCACCTTTCTCACAACCAATTAATAGTAATAATGACAAAATTAAGAGAATGATGTTCCATGGAAGAAGATTTTTTTTTTTTTTTTTTTTCCTTCAAGCGATAAATAACTTAAAACAAATCGAACATTACAAATACATGCATGTTTGTATAATTTATGTAGATAACTTACAGCCCTAATTGCAAAATCTAATTTTTGTTTTCCATTTTTTTTTTTTTTGCAAATATGACTTTTTTGGTGTAATAAGAAGAGCGCAGCGACTACCAATTCGGAGTTTGATATTTTTCCTTACAAAACTATATAGATCGAGTGTCTCACACAATATGATATATACATCATGAATCTTAGATACATGTATATTTTAGGATTAATTCATGATGAATATATTTAATATGATGAATGTACTACATATGCCTAGACTAGTCACTACAACATAAAACGTGATCTATAGCGCTCAAACAAAAAATGCTATGGTAGTATATTATAGCGTTTTTACAAATGTTATTTCTGCCGGAGCTGTAATAGGTCCGGTCTTTTCTATAGCGTTTCTAACGTGCTATCGTAGTTCCTACTTACAATAGCATTTATTTTGCGCTATGATATAACGTTTTATAGCGTTTCATTTTAGCTATTGTTTAGCCAATAATAGCATTTTATTAGCGTTGTGCTCAGTTGATTTATAGCACATATTTTGTGTTATTATTTGACAAGAAAATTGTTCAAAACGCTATCTTAAGTATTTTACTTTGTAGCATACCCTCGTTGCTATTGTTCTCCCAATATTCTTATAAATGTTTGTTTTCCACACTTTTCATTCTAACTACTTGCTCTATCATAAAATGAATAGGTGGAACTCAGATGTCTCAGTAATTAAATTTGCTATAAGTACATAGATAAATTGTTCTAGTATTTATAAAGTAACAAGAAATGTAGAAACAAGATGTTCAATTTTCTGATATCCTGTAAAGTAAATAATAATCATCTGTATGTTTCTTAAAACTAGCTTTAATAACAACAAACTTTCTTTTGGTTCAATCTTAAATTCACCAAATCTTAAATTTACAAATTTCATGTAATGAATGTCTAGATTTTAGTGATAAACATATGTTATTGATTCGTACATATAAATTGAGAAACTATAAAGCTGTGAGGATATCTATTATATTTTGCAAAAACCTGCATCACATTACTATATTCTACTACAACATTATAACAAAAAGGGTAAATTACAAACACCCCTGAGGTATGATCAAATTACAAAAACCCCCTCTTGTTTGGATAATTACATCTACCCCCTCAACTATGATTTTTTCTTAGACCTCCACCTTTATGGTGCCAAATTCAACATAGTCATCTAGATTCCGTGAAATGTGCTCTAGTTTGTACTTTTTTTGCGTAAAAAATACAGTTTCCGATGCACCACAAACTGATATATACAAGCTAAAAATCACATATTATGGTCATCTTGCTTCATAATGTAGAGTTTGAATGGAATAAAACGGATACAAAAGTGATAATATTCCATATAATCTCGAAGATTCTACTAAATTTGATGAGTTGAGGGGGTGGTTCTAATTATCCAAACAAGAGGGGAGTTTTTGTAATTTGGCCATACCTCATGGGGGTGTTTGTAATTTACCCTAACAAAAAACATCCAATAGGAGAACAGTTTTATTGCAAGGATAAAGTGAGAATTACCTCTTCAAGTGTCAATATATCGGCAACATGAAGCAAAATTTATCAAGCATTTGCTTAGAGAAAACTGATGCAAAGAGAATAAATTAGATCTAGAGGTGCCGAAAGGAATAAATAATCCATCAGTCAATTAATATAAACTCATCCAACCATATTTTGATCCAGTAACAGAGAGAGCTTAACAATTTCGCACTTCTCTATTGAAAGGCCTGCCCTTCTTCTCCTTATAGAACGACTCTGAAGTGCATATGATAGAGATACATATGATAGAAAGTTGGGAATGATAGTATGCTTTTTCATTAGTATGTTGAGTTTCTTCTCCTTATAGAACGACTCTGAAATGCAGAGGGGGCGCACATGGGACGGGATACGTCTATGCCATGAGCTTGTACAACTTCGCATTCATGTTAAGCTGTTGTGGCCCATTACATTTCTTGCATAGACATTGTATTTGTTGGTGCTGATGTTGTTACTTGCAACGGGGGTCTAATAAATATGATCGGGACGTACCAGATTGCATTAGTTGCTAAAAGCATGAACAAACTAGCTTATGCAGTTGCTGAAAGTCAAAAAGTAATTAAAATGACTAATCTCTATTAAATAGAGTAACTAAATAACCATGGCTGGTGATTGTGCTTTTTATTTTTTTGCATCTATTGAATTACCTCATATTACTTGTGTTTGCAGTTTGCTCATCAATTGTATCCGTTGGATCAAGAAGATATGCCAACCGTCTTACGTCTGATCGGTTTTGGGGCACCACTTCCACTAGGGGTAGAGGTTGAAACGTCTGTTTGAGATTTTACACCTGAGGAATATCTTACTTCAACTGTATCCGTTGGATCAAGAAGATATGCCAACCGTCTTACACCCGATCGGGAAGATATGCCAACCGTCTTACGCCCGATCGGTTTTGGGGCACCACTTCCACTAGAGGTAGAGGTTGAAACGTCTGTTCGAGATTTTACACCTAAGGAGTATCTTACTATGTTTGTCACAAATCTTACTGTGTTTGTCACAGAACACCAAGTCAGTCTGTTCGATATTTTACACCTAAAGAGTATTTCAGAACACCAAGTCAGTCTGTTCGATATTTTACACCTAAGGAGTATTTTAGAACACCAAGTCAGTAAGTCAGTATGTTCGATATTTTACACCTAAGGAGTGTCTTAGAACACCAAGTCAGCATGTTCGAGATCGAGATTTTACACTTAGTATCTTAGAACACCAAATCAGTATGTTCGAGATCGAGATTTTACACATAAATTTTACACCTAAGGAGTATATCTTATTAGAACACCAAGGCGTGTATGTTATTAGAACACCAGTATGTTCTACACCATCGTAGAACACCAAGTCAGTATGTTCGAGATCGAGATTTTACACAGAAATTTTACACAGTTAGAACACTCGAGATTTTACACACAAATTTTACACTTGAGGAGTTAGAACACCAAGTCAGTATGTTCGAGATCGAGATTTTAGACAGAAATTTTACAGCTAAGGAGTTAGAACAAGTCAGTATGTTCGAGATCGAGATTTTAGACAGAAATTTATGTTCGAGATCGAGATTTTAGACATAAATTTTACACTAGGAGTATGTCTTATTAGGTTTATCTTATTAGAACATCAAAACATGTTTGAGATGTCTTGGATTTTGTTGGATTCTTGTTGAATCATTACAAATGAGATGACCCTACCCCTATTTATAATAGACTACCTCTTTAATGGACGGTGAATATCTATTTGATCTAATGGCTAGGAGTGGTTCACTAGAACATATCTATAACGAGAGTTCTAGAAATCTTTCTAGAATCCTCAAGAATCTCTACATATCTCTATACAAATCTATACATTTGGGTCAATTTGGGTCTAATCATATTTGGGCTAAACTTTTGGAATTCTTAACCTCCCAACCCAAGGGAAACTGACAAAGTATTGGGCCAAAACTAGCGGTCCGTGACAACTAGTACTATAAAACTTTCTGCTGCTCGTGTTATATCGTTTCATCAGTACAGCAACTTGCAGTGAACATATCGTTTAGACATTGAAAGTTGCTGTATGATGGATATATACATCTCTTACAGAACTACATATATATTTGGTTTTTGACCTTTTTACTTGAGTTTTGTCATAATGTTGTGCTGTCTGTTAAGACATATATGACTGGTGGAACAAATGTTTTTTTTTTATGCCCAAATATACTGTTGAATACTTACACCATTCATTACTCATTGAAATACAAAAATTAAACATTTTTCTATAAGAAAATCATCCTCATGAGATGGATTTTTTATTTTTTTTATTTTTTATTCGACGAATATTTTGCTCTGATTTCTGGTTCAAAAAATTATTTCCGCCTTTTTTTTTACATATTAAATATTTTTTTTATTCCATAATTACATTTCAACAAGAAACACAACGAATCGTCGCAATGAATTTCATAGAATTTGTTTTGTGGTCATCCATGCGACGAAACTTGAATTGTCTCAAATAAAATAATTAGTTTTTTTTATTTTTTATAATGTTTTTTTTAGACATTTTTTTAACAATGTTAACCCGGTGACGAATTTGGAAGAATGTCGCAGCAGTATTGCTTTTACTTTTTTCCCAGCTCAAATTGCGACGATTTTGAAAAACGTTGCACTTGGGATCAATATTTGTTTCTTTTTTAGTGTTATTGTAATAAATAGTTGCGACGACGCTATAATTTTCATCCTCCCAAATTCTCGCGCCCAGTTTGCTACGAATACAGACACATCGCAACAGATTTAATTATACATTATTTTTGTAGCGACGATTAAAACAGAAACGACTTTTTGATAGCAAGACGATTTGATTAATGCTATACCTTATGAACTTTTTGTAGGCTCCCATCGTCCAATCTTACGAATATTTCGAATATTTTATAAACTATAACGCAATTTAATCATTATACAAAATAATAGATTACAAATATTGCATAGAAACAACATAGCAGATCTTATATCAGATCACCAAAGCAAATTTCATTTTTGTATATAATTACATGTTTGCCCTTCCACACGCAATAACACACAATCATTTTTCCAGGTCCTTCTAACATCGATGCAAAAAACATATATATAGCTCAAACACAATCATTTCTTTCATTGTCTGCAATCAAAATTCAGCAACACATTTGCCATTCCGTTTTCTGTTCTGTTGTCAATACCACAATATATTTTTAAGGTCTAAACCTTGGCATAAGGATATAATACAAAGTTCAAAATGACAATCATCGAACTTGTTCGAACAAAGTTAAGCACATTTTCCGTCCATTATAAAAGGAAACCATGAGAGAGAAGGAAAAGAAAAAAAAAGCATTTCTCATACGCTTACATCATCAATTGCGGTACCTGCTGCGGTCCCTATCGCGTTCTCGTTCACGGCCATAATCTCTGTCACGGTCATAGTCGTAACCTCGATCTCTCTCCCTCTGCCTGTCGTGTTCTCGACTGCGATGCCTGTCTCTTTCTCTCTCGTCACGCCCTCTTCCCCTCTCTTTACTTCTCTCTCTTCTATCCTTTTCACCTGCACCTGTTAATATACATTTAGTAAATCTCTTCATTGTAGTAACTACTTTTTACAAATGTAATGAGCATATGTGAGATTCAGACAACACAATAGAATCCATTAAAAAAAAAATACCTAGTTCCTCAACCTCCCATCCTGCACGTCCAACACCAGGGATGCCAGGAGCCATTTCACCTTGCTGTGTTTTTGCACGGAACTTTTTCTTGAGATTGCCAAACTCGTCGTACATTTCACCATCATCCTGCGAACATAAACACATTCATATTTATTGACTGAGATTACGTACATTGAACCACACTTCTAAAGAAAGAAGAGCAATATAATACTTCTTCAGCCTCTCGTCGTCGCCGTTTTGTTTCTTCAATTTCTTCTTCGTCCAGTTCTTTGTAGCCTCCACCACGCCCTCCTCTAAATAAAAAGTCAACAAAGGAACAAGGTCAGTATTCAGACAAGAGCTAGATATATTTATACAGAGTAAAAAAGACAGATAACAATGGCCTCTCTTCTACGACCTACAGCCTAAATATACGTTGACAGATAAAAGGTAGGTTAAATTAAGGTCCAGAAAATGGGCAATATGCATATTCGTCAATCTTGTATGATTTCCCGAAACAAACTTATCCCATACAATAAACAAGTTGCAAACCCCAATCCTTGAAAAAAATCCTCCTGCTTATATTAAAAAAATATTCATGTTTGAATTAAGGAACACCTCTCTATATGTCTAGATTGACAATTTGGATTCCAGGAATATTTAGCCCTACGGGTTTCAAAAGACTCCAATACTGAGTGGATATGAAATCCATAGTTAATTGATCTTATTAAAAAATACGAAAGTGTAAATAATTGGTATCATGAAATTGAAATTCTTAGCTCTCGTGTAATTCAATTAAAAAGTAAAGTAAAGGAGTTGATACATCAAGAGACCAGAAAGATGAAAAAAAATATTCTTCACATACCTCACACCTCCCTCATTAGTTCCAGGTTTATTGGTATTGCAGATGTTGCATTTTGAACGTTTTGCCCAATTAATGTTCCCACACCTGAATTAACAAAGAAACAAGAAACTATGTAGAAAGAGCAAACAAACAAAAAAAAAAGATTAATCAAAGAATTGGATTTTCACGTGAGCATCAAAACAAGGGAAGCAAATCCAGTTCCATGAATAAAGAACTACAATAGGAAGCAACAGCAACATAACAGATTGAAATATAATTCAATTAGAACCAAAAGACTGCTATTTTAGGCAAAAAAAAAACGAACACAAACAAATCAAGCATGCCAAGCCTTCTTACATTCACATCATAAGATTCTGTGAAAACCTTGACTGGAACAATCATCCATAGTGAAATCATCGTCTCCTAACAATATCTCATGGAAGTCCATACAAAGGATTCCAGCAACAACACGTAAGGTTTCCAAATTCCAACTAAACCCAGATCTGGTTTCTTGGTTTCCCGTTTGATAGTTAGATGTATAAACTTACAAATTATGCCACAAACTTAACACTATAAATAGCAATAAAAATTCAAAATACATTGGTCGTGGTTAATCTATTGCCCACTCAGTCTATATACAACTATTACTTCGATATTGCCCACCCAGCACCCAACGGATAAAGTACATTATATATCCGATAGATTCTACTTCTCGGTCGTGAATATCTGAACATGTTCTTCTTGAAATTTCAATGTCTAAACAGTAAATGATAAAAAAAAAAAAAAAAAAAAAAAAAACTCCTCTACAAGAGACATAAGCAGCAGCTCAATAAATGCTATGGCATCTTTTCAACATGCATTCCTAGTCATGGAAGCTCTTATTTTGAAGGAAACGGTGTATAACTGTTACGAGTCATAAGAGTTAAACTACCTATGTTGACATGTACCCAATGCACCAATTCACTAGCTTTGACTTCCAGATGATTTTGTCTGATATAAGCGACGATTTGGAATCGGACTGGGATGCATGTGAGAGGCCGGTAAAGGACCAGCCAGTCGTCCCAAGTCTTCGTGGTT